CATACCATACCATACCATGGTATTGCACTCCCATACCATACCATACCATGGTATAGCACCCTCATACCATACCATACCATGGTATCACACTCCCATACCATACCATACCATGGTATTGCACCCTCATACCATACCATACCATGGTATCACACTCCCATACCATACCATACCATGCACCCTCATACCATACCATGGTATCAGGAACCATAATCTATTTTTATTTAGGCAGAGGAAGGCAGAAAACCCTCATTTCGAAGTTTGTTTACATATATTTACCAATAGCTTTGATTGAAGTGAGGCTAAAATTTTGTAGTGTCCGCTTTGATGATTTCCTAATTGGGCCATTTCCTAATTGGGAAAAGCGTTACACTTTTTTCTGCCACACCTAATGTCAGGCACAGTGTGCAGTTAGGTTGGGAACTGTTTCCCACGCTCTTTGGGCCACTGGAGTTAGTGGCTAGCTTAGTGTTGTCATTGTTTATGACGATGTTCGCATATTTCCTAATTTGGAAAGTCATTACATAATATCAGTTTGGTTTGTACTGTCCGCTTCAAAAAACCAAAGCGAAAGAAGAGTGTCAAAGTTGCTGCAAGTACAAAGAATGTGGGTGCAGGATTTCGTCGAGCAGGAGAGGTTGAGGATTTTAGTGAAGGAGAGGAAATTGTTCTTGAACAGGGTGATGATTCAGAGGATGAGGAGGAGATTGCAGTCATTGAAGAGGCAGATGTTGAGGAAGATGAAGCAGAGAATGATGAGGGGCAAACAGTACACAATGAAAAGGTGGCAAAGACATTGAGAGAGAAGGCAATTCAGCAAATGGAAGCCAATGGGATTATCATTGACTCAGGAGAAGAAAAAGTAGCTCTTCAGATTTTTCCAAAGGTGAGTTTCATTTCCACCTCCTATGCAGTTTTTAATATCATGCAGGTTGCTGGCCTTGCTCGCCGTGTTCATGATAATGCTGTTCTGAAAGAGAAGTTTGAGAGGTTGGTTTCAGCAGATGAAGAGTTACATGGCCAGCGAAGGGCACTCACCCGACGAGTTCCAACTCGGTGGAATTATGATCTTGCATGCTTGGATGCTCATTTCTATTTCCGCGACATTATTGAGCAACTTACAGCTGTATCATCGAATGGACTACAAGCATATCGTTTAACAGAAGAACAATGGGAAATTGCTTCTGATGTGCAAGAGGTTCTCCTGGTATGTTTTATTTAGTATTCAAGATTGAAATCTAAATATTCCACTTTACCAGCTTTTTAGTGACATTACAAAAATCTTCTCAGTTGCAGAAACACCACTTGTTGTGGATGTTCTCCCAACTCTAGAAACCTTACGTGAAGGGCTGATTGCTGCAAGAGATGATCAGGAGAACAACCCTGCCAATGTTGTCCGGGTTGCTTGTCATGCTGCAGTTCTTCTTGTTGATAAGTATTCTGCCTTTTCTGGAGCCTGTGATATTTACATAGTCGCCATTGGTAAGAATCCAACTTGATCTCTACATTTATTTTTTATATATTTACCAGTGATGTGTCCTGATCGCAAACTCAAATGGTTTCAAGACCATGGTCGTGACCTCCAACAAATCAAGTCCATAAAAAGTATAGTATGTGATTACTGGGACAGTGTATATGCAGGTGAAGAGGAGAATGAGCTGAGAGAGGAGGAAAACAAGGTAATTGGTAAAAATATCTTTGAAATCCTGTTATTGAATTGAATTTTTAGCCAAAGCGATCACGATATGCACCAAAAAAAAATCAGTTTGTTAAGGACCACATTCAAACTTACCTTGATGAACCCAGGGTAGCAACGGAAACAATCAAGGAAATGGGAGGTTATATGATGTACTGGCACAATGCATCACAGTCCCGACCACGACTCTCACGAATGGGTTCTGATTTCTGCTCAGCCCCAGGTAAGCACCATTATTCACACTCATTTTCCTTTATTTTCAACAATTGTTGCAGCTACTTCTGTGGATGCAGAGCGAGCATTCTCCACTGGTCGCCGTCAGATCAATTTCACCCAGCACAATATCAACTCTCAAACATTCAGAGCAGAAATGGCTCTTGGATCCTGGATTAAATCCCCCCTCTACCCAGGCTTCAATAAAGTTACAAAAATGATTGAAAAAAAGATGGACAATGATTTCTTTTCCTCTTGAATAGCTTTTTGTAACACTTTATGTCACCAAAATTGTTCTTTCAATACCTCTACCTAAATATCAAGTTTCAGAGTGGCCCAGGCATGCTAATACACACCCCAAAACACACTCTGTGATCAAAGCTCAGTCACATCAGCATTATATGAGGGGAAAGACCTCAAATTATGATATATGTATAACTTTAGTTTTAATGTACTCAATTTAGATAATATATGAATGAATTTTGTTTGAATATGAATTCTTCTGAATTTTCGCTTCATAACACAATTTTTTTTGTAAAGAACGGATGAGAAATGAATGAGATACACCCATTTATATAACTGAAGCTATGTCCTCAGCCACTCAGGCCGTTTTACCCACGGATATATCTGTACTGTGCCTTATCTGATCTGTGGGTGGGAAAATCCGTGGATTGGGTATGGTTAATACCCGGGTGTATCCATGACAGTCCCTAACTTATACCAAAATCTTCAAGAATTTGGTTGAATGCTGCTGCCAGGTTGATACCAGAGTGGGAACAAGGTACCTCAACGAGGTCAAGGAGCATCAAGACAGGGACACCGTCATTTTCGAAGTGAACGGTGACCGCTACATACACCTTGTGATTAGGCGACGTCCATGCATCCATAGCGAAACTTAGTGCTCCGTCGTGATCCTAGAAAGGTACGTTGTCAATTTTTAAGATATAACTATGAGCTGATATGACAGACCTGTAGCATTTTCGCAACACGCTGGCATACACGGGTAAACATGTTTTTAACATCCCGAGATACGGTTTTGGCAGACGGGATATGATATTCGGGTCTCCCAGTCTTCATCAGGGTCTGAAATCCATGATCGTTGACAATCTGGAATGGGCAATTGCTTTCCGCGACCCAGCGGACGATTTCGGCTCTATGAAGTAATAGGCTATCAGTGAGTTTGTTTCTTTCTGAAGGTTATCAATTTGGTCGTAGTATGTTTATGATGACTAAATGTCATCTTCCCTTTACCAATTCTCTCGAACGCTGTGGTAAGTGGTCCATCACATAACTTTCCTCTACCAGTAATCTCCCGTGCAGCTTCAACATTCACCCCTTTGGATGACTCGACAGTGCCGTCACCCCAACAACCTTTTGCATGCCTCCAAAGCTTGCTTGTCAACTTTGCATCTTTACTATCGAGGAATCGGTGGACAAATCGGCCATGCGTACCCTTGCGAGTGCAGGTCTTCATGTTACATCTGAAGACATGTGTGCGACGACCATCAACATACTCGATTGCAGGAATGGGGTCAAAGAATGCATAGATATGTGAGTTCCATTCGTTTAGAAGCTGTTCTATCATTAATCAGGTTGGGAGACAGGACGTGCAAAACCCAACTTACTTAATTCAGCCTCTGCACCCTCCTCAGCCTCCTCTACATCATCATCATCATCGTCGGAGTCATTGGCTTCGACCAGATCTGGTATCTCGTCATCCACATCATCGTCGCTACCATCTGCCTTCTCAAGAACATAGCGGGGATTGATTGGTTGGATGGAGGAGGTCCGTTCATCCTCATCTTCAACGTCAACTGATGCTTGAGAAGATGCTAAGTTCTTGGAGCTTGTTGTTTGTTGAATGGCAGGAGGTTGGGGGGGATTTCCTGCTCTTTTTGCAGCAGGCTTGGTCGCTTTCGCAGCAGTCATGAGTGGCGTGGGCGGACCAGTAGAAACGGCATCAGCATCTAAACCAATATATTAGGAAACATAGATGAAAAAAAGGCAGTGAGTAACTGACTGGCTTTGGCGTCTGCATGGGCCTTTTTATTCCTCAATAATGGATCAGCGTTATTGAGGAGGCAATTACTAGCAACACGCTTGCGACCTGGGAAGGGAGTGGAATCAGAGGCTGACTCTTGCATGGTGTGCGAAGTAAGATGGGTGAAGGTCGTCTTTTTTTATTATTACTGAGCTCTGAGTATATATGATAATCTACATAATTGTTTAAGCGGAGCACATGATTGTTTAAGCATGGAACGCATAATTGTTACAGTGTGGAACACATAATCATTACAGTGTGGAACGCATAATTGTTACAGTGCGGAACACATAATCATTACAGCATGGAATGTGGAGCCAGTGCATGCTGTGCAGTACAAACCCGTTGAACCCACTTCAAGGGTATGGGTATGTCAGGGTTTGGCTGAGGCATACCCGTACCCTTACCCACCTATACCCGTGACTGCAACCCTTGCGGGTCACCTGACCTGTGACAATCCCTACTAAGAACTCATTAGCAGGGCGATGCAGAGATAAAACAAGAGAGTACTCTTGGCAATGGACATCGAAGAGTCAAAGGCAATCTCTAATGAAAGAGTTCCCGTTGCAGGCACTGACACATGGATGTTCACAAAGCAAAAGGCCAAGGCATTCAAGAGATAATATTTACAAACACAACTGAAGAATGCTGCCTGATTCCCTGCCCTAATCCTTCAACAATCCTCCTGAAACGTCTTCTACTCTCCAGCTTATAAACATACTCATGATATACTGAAGAACAGCTTGTGGAATGACCCAACTTGAATATGCCTATGGGCTAGTCTGCATTCAATCGCGCCCATCAAACCGTAGTAAAAAATTGATGCCCTTTATTCCCACGTTTGAGTCATGTGAGAGCGCTAATCAATGAGACGCAACACGTTGGGTTCGGATAGTGAAAGGCATCCGCAGCCATGCTCAGCTATGAACACCCTCAATATACACCCAGTACTCCTCTCACTCATTTGCAATGCCTCTTGCCCATTTTACCCTTTGTCAACTACTCACGATGCAAATTCCGGTACACCCATCATCAAAGATACTGTTTTTCAAACCTACCCAGCCTATCTCGCTACCCCCGGTTCTCAGTACCTCCTAGTGTTTGGAAGTCCGGTCTCGTGACTGGAAAAAGACCGTAACCAGACCGGACCAAGACCGCAAAAGACCGGACCTGCGGTTACGGTCTTTTATTTTTGAAATGTAAAGACCGCAAAAAAACCGGTTAACGTGAACCGGTCTTGACCGGTTTGGACCGGTTTTTTGTAGCCCCTTAAATACCCTTTAAAACGCACCCAAGAACGTACGATTTGGTAAAAAAACGAGAGAGATATGAATTAAAATGTAATTTACTTTTGGGAATAATAGATGTACCAGACTTATTTTATAGAAGTAACAATTCCTAACGGAACTTGACGTTCTTGGGCTCGTTTTGAAGCTAATAGCGATGTTAATAAATTTACCGATTCATAATTTTAAAATATTAGCCTAAAGACCGGTCATAAACCGGTTAAAACCGATGCAGACCGAAACCAGTCTATAGACTGCAAAAAGACCGCAGACCGCGGTTTTTTGCGGTCCGGTCTGGTCTTTTGACTTCTGGGGAAAAGGCAGACCGGTTACGGTTACGGTTAATGCCCCTGGGTATAAAAAAACCGGACCAAACCGGACTTTCAAACACTAATCACAGGGGCCTTTGGGGCACTGTCGTGCCTAAATATCTAGCAGGTTGTAAAGCGATCACTACCATTCTTCCCCAACTATCCACTCTGGGGAGCACATCTTGTGTATGGTACCCAGTGTGCAATGTAAGTACTTCAAACATAAGTGAACCGTTATCACCCATATTCCACTGAAAGCTTCTCAGTGGCAGTTGCAGCAGTGGTGGCTCTATATGATCACTGTAAAATTCTTCATAAACTTCATAAATCACTCGTTTACTCACTATTTGCTAGTCTCCCATAGGCAACTCCTATGATGAGGGTGATGACAGTTGATCTCCCTCATATGGAACTATTTGCGACGTCAGTTGCCACAATCGTCAATTCATCTTGGCCAAACACTGATCTTACCGATGTGTCCGAGGATATAAGGTTATCTGGTACGGCATCTGAATTTATTGCTAAGTCCATTGTGAAAATTCTTTTCACCATCGTACTTGCATTGTATGTCGTCTGCTTCTGAATATTGAACTTGGAAGAAAATTAAATTTATAGAATTGATATTTTGCAGAAGGATTCATTCTGTGTGTAATTATCAGTCCTGTAAACACCTGTGGTTTGTTGACGTGCGTTCGCAGATACGTAGTAGCATCTGAACGGAGAGTTACAAATCCGATGATTATCGCAGAGAATTTGGAAATTCCATCTGCACCTTCCTTCATGTAGGTCCAAGTTTGTCCACTCTTGAACCTTTACCAAATTACCATGGTGAGTATCAATTCAGATCTATTTTTATATGGAATTAGGGCCTCTGAGGCCTGCTGAGGCTGAGCGCTGAGCACCCTGACATTTTGACAATAACCAATTTTTCAGCTTGATGTTCAGCGACTCCCACTGTGGTGTTGCCTGATCACGATCTTTGCAGAACGACCCTTGAAACTTGAAAGGCCAGCCCCGGCGCATGAGATCGACTGCAACAGCTACTCAATGGTCGGTGGTCAATGGTCGGTGGATGACTTGACCCGACTTTTGTTTCTACTGCCAGTGACGACTGCTGACGTGTCGTCACTGACAACTTCACTTCGAAAGACAACGAGACCAGCCCCGTCATGTCAAACATCAGTCGTGACACTCGTCCATGTCAAATCTACTTGTAAACTGAATGAAGAGGACGTAGATCATGTAGAATTAGTAGGCAGTGTCACTATGGAGGAGGATTTCCCACATGAAAAGTAAAGCGACCTGAATCTTTATATTGATTCAGGAAGTCACTGTTTTTGTGTCTAGGTTTGAAATCAATTTTCTTGTTCAAATCACGAGTGGGGAGTTGCAGGGAGTTGCAGGGAGATCCCTTGATCCTGTGCCTGACTTCGCAAGTCAAATATTCGATTCTCGTCTGACTTGATACAGTTTTCAATCTGTGTGGAATCGCCTTAAGAAACATGTGGATGTTATTTATGAGATGAAGTATCATCTGGTAACTTCACTCTGGTGGAGTAGTCGCCAAGTAGTCGCTGGAGAGTAGGAGTCAGGAGGTCGGCACAATAATCTTTTTTCCCACCCCTTGTAAGAGCCAGATAAGGGTCTAAAAACCTTGAGGATCTGTGGCACTACCCGAAAATCTTCTCCCCATTGAAATTTGACTCGGATGACCCTAAGTATGTATTGATGGAAATCGAGGTCTGTCACAGTGAGCATTTGTTTGTGGGCATTCAAAACGTCCACGTTGAGAGTGGTCATTATCACTTTCCTTCTCCCTCTTACATCCATATGGATGGAATGCTTGGATCCAGCTTCGCCAGCCTTACCCAACAGGCACAGTGCCACACATACTTCCAAGGTACTTACATTCATCAAGCAACATGTTGCTTCCATTGCTAATAGCTTTTCCGAATCAGTCGTGATCATGGCTGCAGTTCTTTATGACCACGGTCAGTTCTTTAGGAATTCCTTCTCAAACGAACGCTAACAGTTGGGTATTCTAGTCATAACATTGGACATAGAGGTGAGGTTTACTTGCTACTGGCGCCTGACCTTCTCTTACCTTGTCACTACTAGGTCGAGCTCATCTGGGTATGGTTAAATGCGGGGGTGAGACCTGCTATTGATTGTGTTCACAGAAGAAAAAATGGTCTGCTGTGAATGTCTTCTTCATAATTGTACATTTTTCGTACCTGAGCTTTGGGTATTGATTTCATGAACGGTCGTGTTTTCAGAATTGATACTTAGGCAAAGCCATTCCCTTGTACGCGAAAATTCTGACATTTCCATTATTATAATTATGTTTTGCTCAAAGGCGTTGTTAGATACTTGGCGAGAGGTGGGGAATATCATTTCTCAACTTAGAGCTGTTAAGCTAATTGTTTCGTTCAAGTTTTGATACTTCAATTTTCCCCCCAGGACGTGACTTCGAAATTTACTCTACCCCTTAATGTTTAACTTCAATACTTACCACTTCCTGTTTTCCTTGCAAAGAATGTGTCTCAGCAGTGAGTCTAGACTTCTTCCTCTGCATGACAATTAGCTTCAACTCATACAATTGCTTAGATGTACGTGAATACCACTCTCAAGAATAACGCCAACGGGCTGATAACCTGCAGGTAATATTGCGTCAAAGGTTCAAGGATGGGGATCCCATGTTGTGATTTGGTTGATGCAAGGTTCGTAGCAGGCATACTACCATTATCACTGACTGACTTGAGTCAATGACCAACCCAGCCATTATGCTATATCGAATCTGTTGCCTGTACAAGAATTCAAGAAAGGTAACAATTTGGATGTCTATCCTATTTGCCCTTGAAATAATCTCGATGGTGGTGACCGACACGCTTTACTTGTGTGACCTCCCCTGTAATTTTTTTTATGAAATAAGTCATATTGATTACTTATCCTCATTTTATCCAGCTCATGGTGGATCTAATGCTCCTACTTCCTCGGGCCCTTCCTCTCCATGTCCTCCAGGCCCTCCTCCTTCAGGTGGTCCTCCAGGTCCTCCTCCTTCAGGCGGTCCTCCAGATCATCCTCCCTCAGGCCTCCCTCCCCCTTCTTCCTTGGGTCTTCCTTTTTCTCAAGGAAACATCCCCGTATGCCTAGTATTTTCTCCAAGCTGGTATTTAATATCGTGGACGCCAATATTTGTGCTTGAGCTGCTAATCCTGCTGATGGGATTACAAGCTGGCTTAAGCTACTTCAAGGAAACAAGATCACTCCCCTCATTAAACAGATTTCCTTTACATTCAATCCTGCTGCGTGACAGTATTCTGTTTCCCATGATGTAAGAAACATTTCAATGCGTGCGTCATGCTCAACCCTTGAAATAGCGCTTTTTTCGTAGGGATCTTCAGTATCATGGGGTGGGCTCGACCAACGGTAAGGCATCAGACATTTAGATATTCTTCCTGCTCATCTTTTCACAGCATTATTACATGCCAGTCGCCAACGGCTTACCCCAATTATTCTTGAGAGTTTTAGGCTGCTGCCTGATTCTTAATCTTTGAGAGGCATATTATCTTCCTTTCGAAGAAGAATGTGGGCAGCCTGACAAGCTTCCGACTCTTATCTTCCATAACACCGTGACAGATGACGAGCCCAGAGTGGTGGATTAATTTTTGGGTGCCTCTGAGATTGTGCCTGAAAATTTGTACTCATTTTTAGTATTTACTTTGGTGTCGCGGTATCGAGATTCAGCTGGAGCCTTGGAGTGCAGAATTGAGACGTGGAATAGGACTAATCGGAATTGGGACATCTACATATTATTACATATGACATACTTCCAATGTTCGGTTCAAAGGTGGTGTGTCCAGTCGCAAATCCCCGAAAGGCGCCTGCATTGAAGAGCGTTGAAGTCACTCATTCCAACGTTTACAGAACCAGGCCCATGTACCCAAGCTCCTGGCTCACTTGTGGGGTCGAAAGCAACTCGTGTTGATTGGCAAACAATTGCAAACTTACACTAACTCACAATAAAGAATGTCACATGATTTCTTTTACAGAGTTGGCACCATAACACAAGAACCAAACATTTTGAGAACTATGCTGTGGTGTATGAAACATAGCCAAGATGGTGTAGATTGTACATACCAAGTCTGGGGATGAACAATTGAAAACTCAGGATAAGGCAGGGAATTGACTGTGACAAGTGCCAAAAATGGGATGTAACAAAGTGGGAAATTCTGAATGACTGCAATCTACTGAAAGCAATTCACAACTTGAGGAAGAGATATTTTGAACACTGGGTCTCCCTGCTATTGTTATGAGCTTCATAAGGTTTCTGGGCCAGAAATTTTATATCCTCCTCTAAAAGGTAGATTTGAACTTGTTTTCCATTTTGTGTATTTTTCACTCAATATATTTGTTGGATTGAGGTAAAATGACTCCCAATCAATGTTTGTAGTGTGTATAATACAAAATGTAGGTAGAAATGTCAAAATGAACATTGCATGATGTCTGTAGAAGCTAATTTTCAGAGTTTTTCTGGAAGTAAACAAGTATCTACAACATTGGTCCTTCTTTTCTGAAAGAAGAAAAAATGCTACCATCCTTTTGAATTGATCCATGGAGACTAAGGATGTCTTTTAAACAATGCCTGAGATATAGCATCATAGCAAATAAATTTGCACTGGGTATAACTTGAAAAGTCCACAATAAAAGTACATTATGCATAGAGCAATCATCCTGGATCAATCCTTGACATTTTTCTTAGTGAATTGGGAGTAAAAATATTTCACAAGGCACTTCTCATGCCTAGTAACACTATCCCAAAGAAATAAACAGAAGTCCTATTTATACAAGGATCTGAGACACCACACCTTTCTTGCTCTATGCAAAATGTACTTTTATTGTGGACTTTTCAAGTTATACCTAGTGCAAATTTATTTGCTATGATGCTATATCTCAGGCATTGTTTAAAAGACATCCTTAGCCTCCATGGATCAATTCAAAAGGATGGTAGCATTTTTTCTTCTTTCAGAAAAGAAAGACCAATGTTGTAGATACTTGTTTACTTCTAGTGTTTGAAAGTCCGGTTCGGTCCGGTTTTTTGATACCCAGGGGCATTAACCGTAACCGTAACCGTAACCGGTCTGCCTTTTCCCCAGAAGTCAAAAGACCAGACCGGACCGCAAAAAACTGCGGTCTGCGGTCTTTTTGCGGTCTATAGACCGGCTTCGGTCTGCATCGGTTTTAACCGGTTTATGACCGGTCTTTAGGCTAATATTTTAAAATTATAAATCGGTAAATTTATTAACATCTCTATTAGCTTCAAAACGAGCCCAAGAACGTCAAGTTCCGTTAGGAATTGGTGCTTCTATAAAATAAGTCTGGTACATCTATTATTCCCAAAAGTAATTTACATTTTAATTCATATCTCTCTCGTTTTTTTACCAAATCGTACGTTCTTGGGTGCGTTTTAAAGGGTATTCAAGGGGCTACAAAAGACCGGTCCAAACCGGTGAAGACCGGTTCACGTTAACCGGTTTTTTTGCGGTCTTTACATCCCAAAAATAAAAGACCATAACCGCAGGTCCGGTCTTTTGCGGTCTTGGTCCGGTCTGGTTACGGTCTTTTTCCAGTCACAAGACCGGACTTCCAAACACTATTTACTTCCAGAAAAACTCTGAAAATTAGCTTCTACAGACATCATGCAATGTTCATTTTGACATTTCTACCTACATTTTGTATTATACACACTACAAACATTGATTGGGAGTCATTTTACCTCAATCCAACAAATATATTGAGTGAAAAATACATAAAATGGAAAACAAGTTCAAATCTACCTTTTAGAGGAGGATATAAAATTTCTGGCCCAGAAACCTTATGAAGCTCATAACAATAGCAGGGAGACCCAGTGTTCAAAATATCTCTTCCTCAAGTTGTGAATTGCTTTCAGTAGATTGCAGTCATTCAGAATTTCCCACTTTGTTACATCCCATTTTTGGCACTTGTCACAGTCAATTCCCTGCCTTATCCTGAGTTTTCAATTGTTCATCCCCAGACTTGGTATGTACAATCTACACCATCTTGGCTATGTTTCATACACCACAGCATAGTTCTCAAAATGTTTGGTTCTTGTGTTATGGTGCCAACTCTGTAAAAGAAATCATGTGACATTCTTTATTGTGAGTTAGTGTACACTAACTTTCCGATTTCTGCCCATCGTCGTCAACGTCAGTCAAGAATCCTCCAAGGCCATCCTCAAAATCCACCATGTAAGTAGCTAATTCTTTGCCAATCGCCCCTTAGAACCCATGAACGCTCATTTTACGCCGTTTTGCGGGGTGCGGTGGGCTGGATTGGCCATTTTCCGTTTGGATGATATCTGACCATCCTTTTCACAGCCGGAAACAAGTGCGATGCAAGCTTCGCAGTACGTCCTTCAACACTCTCGTTGGGAATGGCGTTGAATTTGATGATATGGCTTCAGCTTCTGCCTCAATAAACCCACCTGCCCAGCATTAGGGCTGCGCACCGTCCCCGTCATAGACGGGTCGACAGACGGGACTGACGGGCAATTTCCCGTCTCCGTTTGGGCCTGCAGAACACCCGTTTTCATCCGTCAGTTGACGACTGTAACGGCCGTCAGACGGGTCATGGTCACATTCTGTTATTTACTCGCACTTAGCTGTACAATCTTTTGACTATGTTCTTAAGTCTTTAATATTTAAATTTTGTAAAGCTCTATCCATGCTACATGTGGTTCAAATGCAGCTCAAAAATAATCAGAGACAGGCAAAATGGTGCTGACTCATCAAAATTGCAATCCCGCGAAATGTCTGTTCACACTTCGTGCTTGCAATCTGCCGTTTGAAGGTGCAAATCTTTGTTATTTGTGCACAACATTTCTTTTTATGTCTTCCAGGTACCGAAAAAGAATGAAAAAAATGAATTACATTGACAGGTGGGTAAAACGGCCGTCCAACCCGTTTGCGGCCGTTTTTTATCCGTCCCTTCCCGTTGTGGCTTTCGAAGTGCAAATTTACGGCCGTCCCCGTCAAACGGACGGTGCGCAGCCCTACCCAGCATGATCATGTCGAAATAGAATAGGCGCGTCATCTACGAGAACCTCTTCAAGGGTGCGTCTTGATCTTTCAATGCCTTTCCGCCTTCTAAAACCTCGTTGGGAATATAGAGGGTGTCCTAGTTGCGAAAAAAAAGACTTCAACGCACCGAAGCACGAAGAGCTCGATGTACCCAATCTCCAGGTCGTCAAGGCTCTACAGAGTTTGACCTCCCGGGGTTACGTCAAGACCCAATTCTCGTGGCAGTACTACTATGTTCTTACCCCTGAGGTTGTGGAGTATCTCCGTGAATGGTGCGTTTTCTCTTTGCAATGACTTGCCCTTCTAACGCCAACGGCTCCAGGCTCCACCTCCCTGCCGAAATTGTGCCCGCTACTCACAAAAAGGCTGCACGTCCCCCACGCCCCGCCACTGTTCGCCCTGGAGGAGGAGAGGATGCCTACCGTGCTCCCCATGGCAGCCTCGATGGCTATCGTAAGAAGGAGGGTGGTGCCCCTGATAACTTCAGGCCCCAATTCGCTGGTGTTGGAAGAGGCGGACCCAGGGATTAAAGGGCATGGTAATGAGTCCTATTATGACAAAAAACTTGTAGTATGGCCATGCATTTTTGATTGTATGCCTTCCATCTTTATATCAGCTTTTTTGCAACCTCTATTTCTCTTCACGTTCCAGGACCGTATGGACATGTGAATGTACGCTGGGAGAGTTTTCAGCTTCTGGGTGAATCCATGACTCTCCGCTGTTTTCCTCGTTCAACCTGGCTCGATAGCACACTGCTGGAGAGTGTCGGAAGGTTATGCGCTCATTCAACAGAAGCTTGAGTATATCGATCAAAAGGGACAAAAAGAAACATGGAGAAGAACCTCAGAAAAGGGAATGATGACACAATGGATGCGCGATGACCGCACCACTCTTTTAACGGAAGGAAGCAAAGCGGGAGGACCACACCAATGGCACCTGGGTGAGGGAGGAACCAGACGTTTTCGAAACGGGAGGGTAATTAAACCCAGGCACTGTCACTGTGTTGGGGGCGCGTAGGAACAGCGTTAATTAGGAAGAGGAAAGCGTTATGAAGGGAAGGGAAGAAAGAAAGAAAGAAAAGCAAAGGATAATGCGCTGTGGAGTCGGTCGGAGCAAAACAAACGGAAACCCGTCGGGAGACGAGTCGGCTCTGAATGAAAGGTGTAAAAAAAGAATGGAATAAATGGCGGGAGGGGTAGAATGCGAGGGAGGTAGAAAATTAAGTGGTGATACGAGAAATGGACTCCGTCAACGCAGGGCAAAAAGAAGGAAGGAAGGAACACCCTTCAAAGGAACTTATGGGCTTAAAGGGAGATGAACTGAGTCACGGTATTTCCCTCTGTAATCTCCTCTGTTTAGCGGAGAATGTCCGGGTGGTTAACTTTGCTTGCGTTCAGTCAAAGGGCGGGAATGGGAAGCGGGCTGTAAGTTATGGTCAGGAAGAGGCAACGAAGAAGGTGGAACGAAGGATTAGAAAGGTGTGAATCTCAGCGGGGAAAACGCGCATGAATCTGGGGAGGAATAGGAAGCTGAGCTTCCCCGCCTAAAACCACGTTCACTTCTTCTCAGTTCTCTTCACTAATTTGTTCATTTTGTACTCTATTCCCTGAGTCCATAAGCTAGTCCTGAGCCATTCAAATTTCTCCAGCTCTCATTCGCAGTTCTGTCGAAGGGTCGCCATGCTCCAAGATCCCTTCGGTCCCTCCGCCCTTGTCCCGTAGTTGCCTGAATTATGTTCGGTATGGTGGGTGACTGTATTTTTCGGTTTTTTTTCCCATGGTTTATAAGCAATTGGATTCGATTCTTCCGTCTATAGGGATTATTATGCTCGTCAAAAGAAGGAAAACTATACAGGGGCCGTCCCACCAATCCTACTCGGATTCCTCGCGAGCGTCTGGCCAACTCTCTGGGCTTGAATAGAGCTGAATCGGTGCAGCTCCTCAGGCTTCGCCGAGATCTTTCCGCCAAAGCCCACTTTACGTGCCGCACGCTTGATGAACGACACACGATTCGAGTAGAGCGATTCGTGGATGGACGCGGCGCGCGATTGGGTGCGGGTGAGTGGGACGCCGGTGGCAGCCACTTCTTGGGCAATGCGCTCACGACGCTTGCGGATAGCCTTGATAACAGTGGCTTTCATTCCAAATTTAACCCAGTCCAGAGGGATGAACCAGATGATGTTCTATATATACGATATGTCAGGATAAGGTTAACGCGTGACTGGAGAAAAGATACCCACCCAGATCCAAACAATGCCGATCCAACCACCAGAGATAGCCTTGATCTTAGTGAAGCCCATGTCACCGTACGCAGCAATGATGGACGAGATGAATTGGGCAAAGCAGAACGCGCCCTTGAGTGCTGTAGAGGGCCGCTCCATGAAGAAGAAACCGTGCGAACGGGTGACGAAGATGAGGGCTTGTGAGATGATAGCAACTTGAAGGTAGACAATCATGTGCAGCTTGGGGTCGTTGTGCGAGATAGGAGGTGCGGTGTCGAGGGAGACGCCGAACTTGTCTTGGAAGAAGTTGGTCTCGATGATGATGCAGACGAGGGCAATGCTAGTGTTCGAAAATGTCAGCCGTGAAATTGATAAGTTGGGTATGACGAACTTACGTGGACGCAGTGAGGTAAATACCATAAGCAAAAGCGTACGAGAAAATCTCAACCAAATCCCAACTATCCGGCGTCAGAGAAGGAAGCACACGATCAACCGAAAGTGTCATGATAGTCCCATCATTGAGGAGTGCAATGATCAGAATCATAAACGGCGGGAAGTTGAACTTGTACACAAATGACAGGATGGCGAAACACACAACGATACGGATGGTGACGGCGCACGCGTAGATCGAGTAGTTCCTCATACGTTGGAAGATAATACGGGATTGGCGGATGGCGTGGACGATGGTGGAAAGACCCGGTTCAGTGAGCACGATATCAGCAGCACCACGAGCAGCGTCCGTTGCACCTTCCACAGCGATACCGACATTGGCACGAGACAGAGCAGGGGCGTCGTTGGCACCATCACCCGTCATCGCGCACAAATGCCCAAGCCCTTGTAACCGCTTGACAATTTCGTACTTGTGCTCAGGGAACACACCAGCGAACCCATCAGCATCCACAATCATCTCATCAAGGTTGTTGAACTTGCTTCCGGGGGCTGGGCCGTCCTTCAACACCTTCGCAGGGTACATGTGGTCTCCCAACCCAAGACGGCGGCCGGTTTCTTTGGCGATAGCAAGTTGATCACCAGTGACCATTTTGACGCGAACACCAAGAGCCAGTGCATCATCAATGGTTTGCTTAGTATCACCACGGGGAGGATCAAAGATAGCCAGGAGACCAATCAGCTCAAACCCGTTACCCTCAGCCTCATGATCATCACCGTCCAATTCCTCGTAAGCGACGGCCAGGGCACGGAGACCGCGGATAGCAAAGTCTTCTACGTCCTTCTCCAACCTCTCCTCCAGCTCCTCGGTCTTGTTGCGCGTGCAAAGTTCGATGATGATGGCCGTCATACCCTTGGTGACACGCTTAAGTTTGCCTGTCGACTCTTCACGGTATGTGATCTCGGTACGCTTGTCGACGGGGTTGAACGGCTTGAAGTCGAGCAGTTTGATTCCGGCACGAGCACGGGCTGTATCTCCGAGCGCTTGAACGACGGATGTGTCAATGGCGTCCTGATTCTCCACACGCGAGGCGTAAGCGGAAAGGAGTATAACATCCTCCGCAGAGAAGGGGCCGTATGTCTGTATAGTGTTGCGGTCGATGGTGAGCTTGTTGGTGGTCAAAGTTCCGGTCTTATCAGAGCACAGGATAGTAACACCGGCCAACTCTTCAATGGCGGTGATGCGTGTAACAATGGCCTTGTACTTGGCTAATTGCTGAGCACCGACGGCGAGGGTGACTGAGAGGACGGTGGGCATGGCAATGGGGATACCACCGATGAGAAGAACGAGGATGTTGTCGAGACCATCGCGGTACCTGTACCTGAAGCCAGCGTACAAGACAATGATTTCCGCAATGACGAAGACACCAATGGTGACAAGACAGAAAGATCCAATTTGAGCCAAAATCTTCTGCAAGTGACCAGTGGTGTCATCATCCTGGCCTACGAGCGAGGCAGCACGACCAAAGAAGGTGTTGGGGCCAGTGGAGATAACCACTCCCTCAGCTTCACCCTGCTTGCACGTGGATCCCCTGAAAAAAAAGACGTCAGACGCTGAACAATGTGCTCCGAAAACATTATAGACTCACGAAAAGCACTGGTCGCCCGTTTTCTTGGACTGAGGCAGTGACTCACCCGTCAAAGCGGCCTGATCAATAGAAACATTGATGGCCTCCGTCAGACGACAATCGGCTGGGACGATATCACCGATTTTGAATGACACCATATCCCCAGGGACGAGAATGGACGATTCGATTTCTGACCATTGGCCGTCGCGTCTAACCTTGGCTTTAGGTGCCAAGGAGTCCATAAGAGCCTTGACGGCATTTCCAGCGTTACGTTCTTCGTAGAAACCAATGGCAGAGTTGATGGATAGGAAGAGAACAATACCGACAAAATCAGGCCAGTCAGGGGGTTTGGCCTGACCGTTTGAAAGTACGATAGCGACGAGCGCGGCGGCTTCCATCACCCATGACAGGGGGTTCCACATAAAACTCAAGAACTGAGCAGAATTAATCAGAAACGTGCGCCTAGAGAAACTAAAAGACTAGTAACCTGAAGGAATGGATTCTGTTCCTCAGATTCCAGTTTGTTGGGGCCAAATAGCTCGAGTCGTCGTTGAGCCTCCTCATGGTTCAACCCCTCCGCAGTGCACTGCAAGAGCTTGAAGACATCGTCGATAACGATAGTTTCCAAGTCAACTTTTTCCTTGTCGTACAAATCCTCTGCCTTTAGTTCGATCTGCAGGGACGCACGTTCGTATGAGCCAAGCAAGATTAAACACATTGAAGACGTACCGTGGACATATCGACCTTGACGTCTATACGCGCGTCAGAACCGCATAGAACAAGTTGAATAAAATCAACGAATCACGAGTTGCTTTCTCGTCGTCATGGCCAAAATCCTTATACTGCCTCTTTTTTCTCTCTGGCTCCTGGATGGGGGCGTCGGTAGCATCACCCTGAGGATCGTTTGCGACGGCGCTCATGGTGGCAAAGTCGCTTCCAGGAAGAAGAAGATTGCGACCAGGATAGAGATGTTTGACCTTATTATGTAGTTCCCAACCTATCCATGAGAAATTTGCGGGGCCGCAGATGAACCGACTCGGAGATTCCAATCTGTTATGACAGCAGAAATACATACGAGATTTCATCGCTTTTCTGAGGAATATATGCGTTGCGTTACCTCGGTGCCTCGCTCGTTCCGGGTTTCGACGACGTCCGAAGCGCAGCCAAAGGGCCATGAGGACAAAACGCCAGTCGCACCCGTCCCATCAAACAAAAATTCGAGGCGATCAAGGTTGAGGCCGAGGGATATTCGCGTTCGTCCGTGCACTAGGAGGTGATAAAACAACTCTTTCGTGGAAAATCGGGTTGTTACAACTTACCAGGGCTTTTGCCGATCATGTGCATGAGGTCCAACCTCCTCATGTTCTCAACTCCAACTCGGCTCAAAACCCCTGCCATCCTCGCGTACCTCAGATGATTGGCTAAATTTGAAGCTCGAGGGCTCAGCGCTCAGCGCCAGCTGCAACAGTGCAAGTGACAGAGAAGGTGCGCAGTGATGAAAGTGTGGTCTCTGCTGGCGGAGGGACATCATCGTACGTAGTTTTTTCTGTGGAACTGGGGTCTCCTCGTTCTCTCGGATTGACACGGTGAATCGCACGAACTGACCCGTCGCCGAAGTTTGTTGACGGACGTCGGACATATCAAACTCTCGCTTCAACGTTTCCAATCGTTCCACCAGGTCCTGCACCCATCCTGGCTCCAAGACGACATATCGTCGTCCGGCGATACGAGTCCTCCAGCTCGTCGTCAAGCCTTCCTGCTGTTGAACCATGCCCTGCCCCAAGACGACGTATCGTCCTCTGCCAATCGGTCCCATGCCACCTTCCACCATGCCATGGGTCTCCGATGCTTCGAGACGACGCATTGTCATCCGCTAAACGCGTCATCTACGTGTGGGTCATGTCGGATAACATTGGTAGCGGATGAAACTTGTAAAAGACCAAAACAAAAAGGTATGTTCAGTCTTTCGAGACCCCAGGCATGATTACTTACTTTTTTGAAGGTTCGTGTACGTGCGTTCCCCGCTTTCGGCCTTTACGACGTCACCAACTACACCCTACCCGCCTTGAAAGAGTTGTGAAGAGTCCATTGTTGATCTTGAAAGTAAGTCGTTAGTTTTTGTCTTTATGCGAGTATCCATGGACTTACCTTTGATTGAATTCAAAGTTTCACCACGTTATCGCCTCCAATCCGCCCTGCCAAGATCCAACGGACGTATCGACCGTCGGCCAAGCGTGGTGGAAACGTCGTTCAAAGACGACACCCGTGATAGCTGTCAGATATGCATGAGTTTTGGATTCATTTGAATTCTGAGTGTTCACTTACCTCCTTTACAAGGTCGTAAACACGCGGTACCGGAAGTGTATAGACAGTAAACGGATGGGTATAAAGGCGAGTGATGTGGGGAAGTGTTCGCGACTCCGCGAATCGCGAGGCAGGGTTAGTTTACGTGTGCTTGTTGTTGCATGAATGCCCGTGAGAATGTCGGAAAAACCCAGGAAGCCTTATAAGGCAGGTAAGGCAGGTAATCACAGGAACGAATTGTAATCCAATTATAATCAAGGAGAAATGTACTATAATACATAGGGACAAATTATAAGGTACCAGATAATTGTAAATGAATCGAAAATTTGTAGTGAGCTCCTAGCTCAATTGTAATGTGTGCGTTTCTTACTAGTTAGTTGTCTTATTATTATGGAACAGTTGTTATTAGCGGGGATCGAACTCTGAGCCTATTGATTACTTACCTTGTTTTGACTTGCTTATTGACTTGTCTATACTTTCCGCTGGGCTATGGGGGCATATTTAGGTACAACCTCTAGTTCTTCATAACGAGCGCCGCGGCTGACCCTTCGACAATACAGAGTTCATACAGAGCACTGTTCTCCCTTCTCGTAAACTTAGCTATAGTTTCCCCACCCAACATCATATGCACATTCTCTTGCTTTATGGGGTTCAAGCACTTGTAAAGCTGATTGAAGAAGGTCAGTACATGCTCGTATTTTTCGAGTTCAAAGGTATATTCTTATGCTTGTTGTTTTTAGAGAAATTGTGCCCTCTTTTCCTGATGTTTTGGGCTCTTGAGAGCAGAGACCCAGATAATGGAAGCTTTCCGTGTCTAGAAGGCAGTGAGATATCCATGTATAGCATGTGATCGGTATTGCGTAGGATGAACAAAGTAACATAAGTACTCGCCTTATTCCTCACAATCCTATCCCAGCTCGTAAATGCGAAACGCCCACCGTCTATAGTGTATACGTCTGTTTCTCGCAATTCCGTACCCTTCTGACGGCGTTCACGCATTAGATTTGAACATCGAGTCTTCATGTAGTATCGAGTCTTCACGTACTACGTGAAGACTCGATGTAAGGTGAGTAATCAAAATGTACATGACCATTACATTCTATCCCAGTTCATAAAAACGAAACACCTGCCGTCCATAG